CCCCCCCAGCATTCAGGATTCTGAATTTTCATCATCATTGCTCCAGTCTTCAGTGTTACATGATTCTTAAGAAATCATTCTAATATGTTGATGTCTTATTATCAATGTTAAAAACGGTTGTGCTGCTTAATATTTTGTTGAGGAATTTATTTGAAGTAGCAATATCATAGGGTTTTTAACCAATAGTCAGAGCTAAAATAGGTATTTTTCTCAGTCCGTAGTGCTTACCAATGTTATTCTGTTCATTCAGTGGTTTCCTCTGTCATTGCAGTGAGTTCACCATTGAGACAGAGGGCAAGACTTTCAAGCTCACCAAAGACATGGTTAACGTCAAGAGGTTCCAGAAGACCCTGCACGGTAAGAGGAAGAAGCTACGATTTTAATGTCAACATAACAAGAATATGTCAGAGGTTTTAATTGACTTTGTCTTGCTCCACAGTTGAGGAGGTTGTTCCTAATGTGATCGAACCCTCTTTCGGCATCGGGAGAATCATGTATTCCATCTTTGAGCACACATTCCGTATCAGGGAGGGGGATGAGCAAAGAACGGTATATGCAGTAGCTGTAATATTCTATAATGAATCATTTCATATGTTTGTCTTGCTTTATTTATGAAGTTTGCTTCTTTCTCTTCAGTATTTCAGCTTCCCTGCCACTGTTGCACCATACAAATGCTCCGTCCTTCCATTGAGCCAAAATCAGGAATTTATGCCATTTGTTCGAGAATTATGTGAGTAATAACATCTCTACTCCCATTTATAAAATTGTATCAATAATATCTGAATGATAATTCTGTAATGATTCATGTTTTGCTTCACTCTACAGCTGAAGCCTTGACCAGGAATGGTGTCTCCCACAAGGTGGATGATTCCTCAGGATCTATTGGTAGACGCTATGCCAGAACGGATGAGATTGGTGTGGCATTTGGTATCACCATCGATTTTGACACGGTTAATAAGACGCCCCACACGGCCACTCTGAGAGACCGTGACTCCATGAGGCAGATCAGGGCTGAGGTAAAGCAGTTGGTCATGTTTGTGTCTTCATTTCATTCACTGAGGCAGCGCATGTTGACTATTTTGCTGAGATACATATGTTTATTTACAGGTTAGTGAATTGCCCGAAATCGTTCGTGACCTGGCCAATGGTGCCATCACATGGACAGAGGTGGAAAGCAAGTACCCGATCTTTGAAGGCCAGGAGACCAGCAAAAAGGAAACTGTGGAGGAGTAGACTGTCTATCTCATCTGCTTTTTCACTCGAGGCAGTCACAGATATTTTTACATTTGCATACATAGGATCACATTTATGGCAATTATAATATACAACCGTTCAATGTGCACCAGATGGTCACACAACTGGAACCACTGTAATCAAGTACTCCTTGAAAGCTCTGTAAGGACCTAAGGATGACTGTGATTAGGTTACTGTGCTAGTAAAAGGGTTCAACCATTCCTGTCCATGGGTTGATAAATGAAGGCATGAATCACATGTATGGTCAAATAAATCAAACCAGCACTTTCTGGACCTATAACAATGTGTTCAGTCAATTTTTTGATCATGCCTCCCCAATACAGGTTATTATAGGCTTGTTTTAAAATGTTTTTATGAACAGAATTCTGAGTATTGGTATATTAATTAACTAATTATTTTTGTGAATTAAGTTTCAAGAACTGTATGTTCATTTAAAAACAACAGTTATTGAGGGGGGGAGGGTGGTTATTTAATTTATTATTATTATTTTAATATAAATACATTTTGATTTCCATATTGATTTTATGTGT